CTTTTTGGGAGTCACCTCAAACAAGTATGTAAAATCCCACTGAGACCTAAAGAAATCTGGGTATTTACTAGTCCAAATGTTCTCAGGACCACGGTGACAGGGGATGTAAGAACTGCCCTTCAATCCCATGTTGAAACAATTCCACCTTCAGGCTTTAAAATCCAAATACCCCTAAACCCCACAATACCTTGGCACTTGTTATTGACCCAAAAGGTGAGAACTCCTTCCTCAGTTTTTCATCATCAATAGTGTCATCTAGGTTTTTAATGTACAGGTTAACACCCTAGAATGGAGAGAACAATAAGACATTTGAAACATTAAAAAAAACCTTGAGCACATCAACTGTTGGCATCCATCTGCCAGAGCTGTAATTTGTCCAAACTCTTAATTTAGCATAATGTTCCTTTCTGCATCACCCAAAGCTGAAAGCAATACATGTTGCAAAGGTGTAGAGACAAGTCCCACTGTGGTGAGAGGGAGCTCGTCTGGATTTCCTTTGCTTTCCTGTTGCATCAGGTATCCCCAGTCCAGCACTACATGGCAAAGAGCAGGAAAGTTTTAGATGCAATTTCTGACATGACCCAGCTTTGCCATAAATTAGAGACAACAGCATAGGGTTGTGCTGTCTCTTGTCATCCTTCTAGGTATTCTCATTTGAAAATAAAAGGAGACTGCATTATTGTTTTTCTCATGTCCTCCTAAACATCTCATTGCCAAGACTATGCCCTGACACCCCTTTTGTACCCAAACACCATGGAGTCGCTTTTACATTTTAAATTCTAGACCATCTCATAGGACAATGACTGATTACTCTGGCAATTCCTTTCAAGTCTGCCAATAGACTGAAAAAAGTGCTTAAATTCAGAAAAGGAACAGACTATTCACCTGGTACCGGCTGAGTCTCTCTTGTTTTAGCTGTTCAAACTTCCGTTTCAGCTCTGCCTGCCGCTCGACCTTCTTCTGTGCTCTGCCTACAAACACCATTTTCCCATTGATATCCTTTCCATTCATTTCTTCTACTGCCTGGAGAGAGGGTTCAAGAGGAAACTGTCAACTGCTGGAATAGGACAACACCTGATCCTGTTAAGAACAGGACTGTCCAAAGCTGACATTGCATCCCTGCCTGTTAGCCAACAAACCAAGGTTACCACATTACCTTTGTGCTGCTTCCATATAACAGGGTAATTAAATTCAGTTATCAGGAGAGACCATGCTGACAACACCAAAAGTGCTGGACTAACAGCAACTTGTGATTTATCCCTACCCCTTCTTGCAATTAAGCCCAAATTTTAACAAGGATTCTGCTTAGAAAAGACCATTTCTAAGCAATGTCCTCACTCTAGATGCCTTCCTCCTCTGGAAGTTCTACATTGTGGTGTTTCTTCAGCAATTAAAGCTCTTGGTTATATCAGTGCATTCTGTGTGGATCTAATAATCTGGAGAAATGTCAAGTTACCCTTGAATGTCAAGCCAGTAAGGTGCAAAAGTTTTCTAAGTCTCCACATCTAGAAGAGGTTATGTCTGAGGCAGAATTTTCTCTCATTTTAGTAACAGGCTCCTATGATAAACCAAGTCAATTTTTTTTTCCTCTGAAGACACTTAAGCAGCATAAAAAGTGTTCATACCTTGTTAGCATCTTCATGCTTTTCAAAGCTTACAAAGCCAAAGCCTTTAGATTTTCCAGTGGGGTCTGTCATCACTTTAACACTCAGAGTTTTACCTGTTACCAAGAGACAGGGTTAGTAAAATATCAGAAAACTATTTCCAGACTATTAAACTCCATATAACAGCCCCAGCCTTCTCTCTCTCATCTGCTGGTCAGCTTCTGCATCCCATTCAACATTTGGCACAACTACTACCCACACCTCAACTCTTTGTATTCCTCAGCTTCAAAGTGACCCATGTAGAGCTATACAGATGGTAACAGTACTGTTAAACTATCACAGGTCATGAAATTCCCAGCCTCATTAGAAGTATTGCTGTATTTACCATATTTGCTGAAGAGCTCCTTTAGTCTTTCATCATCCATGTCATCCCCAAAGTTTTTAATGTAAACATTGGTGAATTCCTTTGCCTTGGCTCCCAGCTCAGCCTCCCGCTCTTTACGAGACTTGAATCTCCCAACAAATCTGTAAGAATGAAAATCCCAGTGAGCAGCTTGTTTTCAAGAGTGGAAAAACAATGTGTGATTTGCAATTAGGAAAAAAATGAGTGTGTAGTAGGAGCTGGGAACAGGGACAAGAAAGGGTGAGAGGAGAAGGACAAATAGGCCACAGACCAACCAGAAAAATCACCTGTCCTATGGCAGAGAGAGTCAGATGAGGATGCCCACCCAGCTCTGCAGTGGAGAGAGTACTGGCCACAGAAACCCACCCCAGCCCACTAGCAGAGAGGCAGCAAATCAAGGCTTGGTCAGGGAAACCCACCAGCCCTGTAACGGAGGGGTAACAGGCCATGGCTTGGGCAGGGTCACTCACCAGCCCTGTAGTGGAGAGGTAGCAGGCCAAGGCTTGGGCCAGGAGAACCAGTGCCTTGTGTGTCCCTGTTAATACCGAGATGGATCACGGTTCATGCGATCGTTGCTGCTTCTGGCTGTGACACTCACACTTTGCGGTCGTTTAGCAGCATGCCGTTCATCTTCTCGATGGCTCTATCTGCAGCATCCTGGGTCTCAAAGTGCACAAAAGCGTAGCCCTTAGAGCCATTCTCATCACACACCACCTAGACATGCGGGAGGAAAACAAACATCAGGTCTCTGAACTCATCATCTGTGAACTCATTTTCTCCTCCGTCACGCTCAGACACACAAGGCCAGCACGTGGAAATAGGTTACTGCCAAGAGTCAAGGCTAGGGAGATGTTACCTGTTTTTCAGACACTTCATGACCAAATCTGACATAATTTCAGCAATCCCTGACCTTTTGGACCTTTTAGAGATCCCACTCCACACTGGGTGTAAGGTGTCCCTTTCACTTCCTACACTGGACATGTCTGATCATGTCACTGCTGTAAGAGAAATGGACAAAGGAACCACATCTCACCTTGCAGGATAAAATATTCCCAAACGCTGAGAATGTGTCATAAAGTGCCTTGTTATCAATGGATTTGTCCAGGTTCTTAATGAAGACGTTCCCAACCCCTGACTTCCTCAAGGAGGGGTCCCTCTGAGACCACATGATGCGAATAGGTTTTCCTTTGATCACATCAAAATTCATGGTATCTAGAGCACGCTCGGCTGCAAGAGAAGTCGAGAACAGATTTCCGGGGTTTGTTAAAGAATAAAGGTTTTCATCATGTGGGTGATTGTTTTCTCTGAATTTTACTCAGCTCGTGGAGATTTCTGGGGCAACATCACAGGCAATCAATTTCAATGACTTTTTAACTCAATGTTTCAAGGGAAGTCTTTGCAGCATGGTCACTAGACACATTTAATTATATAATAGGTTTAATAGACTATTTTAAATTTATATGATAGTAAAGATTTAACAATCACAGCAAAATGAATGTTAAAATGCCTGGGGTTTATTAGTTCTATTATTAATTATTATAAAGGAAAATTGCTGCACCCTAAGAAGGAAAGGAAATACAAGAAATCCTGGGGGAAAAAAGGGAAGTAACAAAAGTGACCACTTGGCTTGTTTGCTTTTCATGAAGCTCACATCTACTTGTACTCATTTCTATTAAGAGAAAAGGATCATCTCCCTGTCAGGTCAGGGAAAATGTGCACGGACACGTGGCTGGCTGGGAAGATTACGTGAGTCAGCCTCTAGAATTTATGTAGCCAAAAAATGATTCCCAAGTCGCTCAATCTAAAGATGACAGTAAGACTGGATAAAATTCTGGAAAAAAAAGTCCATACACCTGATCTGATTATCAGGGAAGTGTTTATCTAAACTCTAAAACACCAGCACTGTCATTCTAACCTACACCAACCCCCCCCAAAAAAAACCTACAGATATATTAAAAGGATCATTACGTACACACATTAGGATCTTGTTCATAAAACTGAGAAGCTTGGGACTCTTCTGTGCCAGAAAACACGCCCAGCATGGAGTGTGCAGAGAAAAAGAAAGACTGTTAATTCCCAGCATGAAGCAGGGAA